TGGGGGATTCCATGATGTGAAACGGGGGATCTGGACCGGGCCGAGCCTGCTCAGTTCTCATTGCATCCTCTCTGGCGGTTCCGCTTACGGTCGCGTGGTCACTTTACATCTCTTCCTCTTTCCATATTGCATAATCCACTTGGTGATATGCTGCTCTGGCTTTAGCAAGGCGAGACTCTATATGATAAGAGGCTCTTGCTCGTCACGAAGTAGAAGTGAGAGTTTCATCGGGAACGTTTCCGAAATTATTCTCAAAAGTTGGTTATTTTGGGTTGAATGAAATAAAAGAAGAAACCACTGAATGAACATAAACCGTCTTTCGTTTGACTGAGTCGCGGAATATTTTTTTACTTTTAATCTGTATTATCTTGTGCTTTTATGCCTACATTGGAATGCCTAGTGTTGCCCAGAACCATGGCCCAAATGGGAGTACCGAATACTGTTTGGAACATCGCTTATTACTCAAAGTTTTCCTTAATTACCCGCCCGAACGAATTCGATTGGTCATGGTACATTCGCAGGCTCTTAAATCCAAGCATTGAAGGGCTTCCACGGGTTAGCTTGGGACCCCTGTCCATTCTGTTGATGACCAAGCACCTCCTAATGTTCAAGCCCCCACCCTAATTTTATATATCGAGTACATTTGTTTCTGAAAAATCCATAAAATGTGGATGTTTTCCCTTTATTATCTGACAAGTTCCATCTGGGACCAGTGAAACTCATAAATCAAGTAGAAATACATCAAGCGAAAAAGCAGAACCTAATTTAACCCTGTTTCATTCACGAACCCACTGATCTTTGTGACATGCTGACCGCCAATGATATTTCCACTTTGAAGCCAGTGTTGACGCCAGCAAGATGGGTGCACATGTCTCCAGGAAAGACTTTGAGTGGTCTTATACTGACGAACCACATGCTACCAGAAGAAAAGAAATATTAAGTGAGTTTTTGAGAAATTTTACCCGATTTCGAAGCGATTCATTGTTCATTCTAACAGGGATGTAAATAAGGTAGTTTCAGATACATCCATTAGGAATACATTTCCGAATGGATATATTTGCCATCTTTTTTTGCAACAACGAGTCACGCAGATATACAGGAAGGGCCATAAATATTCATAACACTTGTATCAAACCTAAACCAAAAATAGTAAAGAAAAAAATGGTTTGTACCTCACTGTAATTGACTTGTCGCTTTGTTGGCTAACCTTGGCTAATCTAATGTGAATCCTTCGCCGCCTAAAAATAGCTTGAGGTTCAAAAAATGTTCTGGCTGACCACGAGCCAGATATTATGAAAGCATACGAATCACCCCCATAAAACTCTGACCGTAACCAAATGTATTATTGCGTGAGAAGTTTGCTGGAGGCAAGTGCACATAAACGAAATACAGCGACCTGATCCATTAAAGATTCATGCCAAAATAAAAGTGAAACCATGTCCATCCAATGCGATCCATCGGCAGACTCAACGATTCCAGATGGCCTTCAAGAAGAATGGGGGCGCATCGAAAGTATTTTGTGAGTAGTTACTGTGAGCCCTTGTGTCTTGTTGAGATTCACTTGATTCCATAATAAGTTATTAGTACAGGGAATACAAGATCTAGATTTAGTGAGAGTATTTATGGCCCACCCTGTAAAACTGTAAAACTTGAATCAAAGATACCTATTGGGATAATAACTTTTGGAATAGTCCAACCTTTGAAAGACTTTCTTCTGTGGTATGGTCTTTTTTTTTTAGAGGTGTGAGGAGGAAGAAGTTTTCCCGAAGGATTTTCGATCTAGCGAAGCGACAACGTTTTGCAAAAAGCTAAAATTTTGAGATCAAACCTAACCTAACCTTACCTGGAAAATTTGAATGTGAAAAGAGGGGAAAATAAAGATTCGAGTGAAACACCTCTGGAAATAAAAGTATAGAACTCTAATAGTTTAACTATACCTCCATCAGATTACGTAACTCTTGCGTCAAGAAGTCACCACCCAGTAGGTGGTTTCCTTAAGTAAAAGTGGTACCGTTCGACTCCTCTCATAGAGCAGAGTCCAATCATGGAAATTCATCACCCGAAATTAGCAGGCCGTGTTCTGAAGTTGAGCAGGCAAATCCTCCATGGGCGCGTTTTTGAGGGAGAGGGTTCATATTTAAATTTCATCCTTTTATCGAATAAGCAGAAATAGAATTTACACCTGGTATGCACATAACTTTTGTGATGATGATTGCAGGAAAATTTGTGTTGGTCCGGGTATAGATAGATCCAATTGGCTTTCATATTTTTGCCGTGCATCTTTTTCTCCGGAATACACGTAAGATATGAAAGCAAACTCTTAATGACAGTTCCTTCAGAGCCATACAACGCATCACATAAATAAAGTGAGAAAAACTCATCTGAAACATGTACTTTCAACGTTCGTAGTGGTAAAGCTTTTTGGATTTTTAGCCTTTTTCATTGTGGCTTCAATGGACTTCCTGGTATGTGACATCATCTCCAACGTGAGGTTAGAAAAAATGAACATGTGGAGCATGTTCTTGGCTTTTCCCAATAAGAAAAGCTGAGAATCCTTCAAATTTTACTCTCATCTTCTTACTCCCCTCAAACGGTCCCTGGGTATCTTCCTCCGATCATCTGACCGTTCCTACAACTATACCGGCGCCCATGAGAAACTTTAAAATGTAATTTATAGCTCGCCTGCATTGTAGGAAGTTGGGATAGCAATATAATTCTCTTTTGCGAAACAAGCCAGCACCTCTTGAACATTATTATTGTTTACTCGTGAACCTATGAGCGCAATGTACGTGCCACGTCGTTAAAACGTAGAATTAGGTTTTCGTTATTCCATATGTAAGGTTCACATTTCCATGTAAAATATTGGCTGATTTTATTGTGCATGTCATCCCCTCTCTGAAAAACATCATTGATATGCCAAAGCTAGAGCAGAAACAAAGGGACGAGGGAATGAACATGCTCCAGGAGGGTGTAACTCGACAGAAATTCGTGCGTCGACTCGAATGAGCTCGTGCGGCTCAAACAGGATTTAATCAACACTTCATCAGGACTTGCAGATCTCTCAACTCTGAAAATTGCTACATTTTTCAAGGTCACGTGTTCTGCAAGGCTGTTCCAAGAAGGTCCAAGGTCGTGTAAAGCATGTTGCGTAACACCTTCTTGGAGCATTTTCATCTCCCGATCCCTTCGTTAGTCCTGCGTTAACCTTCGCATATCCAATATTACTTCAGAGACGATATGACATGCGCTGTGGAGTCAGCCCATTTTTCGTACATGGAAATCTGAACTTTACATATGGAATGGCAAAACTTATTTGGGCATTTTCATGACGCGGCACGTGTATAGCTTTTAAGATTTGCAAGCACACACTTATAATGCTCAAGCAGTGGTGAGTTGTTCAGCAAAATACAGATATCCCCTAGAAACACATACCATTGAATCAACATTGATTCAATGTTATGTGCTACTAGGTTCTCTCCCTGTTACTCCTACTACTACCCTAGCGCGCTCTGAATTCCAATTCTGAGTTCCAGAAACCTTTTGAACGCTGGTATACTTTTACTCATACAAATATTCAACTCTACAGCATGCCCTCTCTCTGCATGGCAAACCCTTGGAAAAACTGATCCGCAAAGACCAAATAATTTGCCCGGAGGTTGGTGGTCTTCCTATAAGTAGAGGCGACACAGGTCCTTCTGTGCTAAGGTGCACAGGTCCTTTCTGCGGATGACAAGGTTCTCTGCAGTGTATCGAAAGGAAAAATTCTCCCAAGAGACTGAGCCATAAGGGATTCACCCTTTTTTACTTCTAGAAAAACATCCTGAAATCAAGTATCTTATGGGACCTGATTGGAAGTCAAAATGGATTATCATTGGGATGGTCTTTTTCCAAATTGGTTCCCTCTTCATTGTGAAGGACTTGAGCAACCTGGGACTCTTCCTTGCTGCGTATTTCATCGGTGGAACAATCAACCATTCATTAATGCTGGGTATTTATTTTTTTGCTGCTGAAATGAATAGTTTATATTCAGTTGAGGAAATGCAATTTGGTTGATCACTAGAAACTGTGATATTTAACTTTTTGTAATAATTTTTCGCTTACATTCCAGCCATCCATGAAATTTCCCATAATCTGGTCTTCGGGCATTCGCATCCACTNTGGACTTCCTGGTATGTGACATCATCTCCAACGTGAGGTTAGAAAAAATGAACATGTGGAGCATGTTCTTGGCTTTTCCCAATAAGAAAAGCTGAGAATCCTTCAAATTTTACTCTCATCTTCTTACTCCCCTCAAATGGTCCCTGGGTATCTTCCTCCGATCGTCTGACCATTCCTACAACTATACCGGCGTCCATGAGAAACTTTAAAATGTAATTTATAGCTCGCCTGCATTGTAGGAAGTTGGGATAGCAATATAATTCTCTTTTGCGAAACAAGCCAGCACCTCTTGAACATTATTATCGTTTACTCGTGAACCTATGAGCGCAATGTACGTGCCACGTCGTTAAAACGTAGAATTAGGTTTTCGTTATTCCATATGTAAGGTTCACATTTCCATGTAAAACATTGGCTGATTTTATTGTGCATGTCATCCCCTCTCTGAAAAACATCATTGATATGCCGAAGCTAGAGCAGAAACAAAGGGACGAGGAGGGTGTAACTCGACAGAAATTCGCGCGTCGACTCGAATGAGCTCGTGCGGCTCAAACAGGATTTAATCAACACTACATCAGGACTTGCAGATCTCTCAACTCTGAAAATTGCTACATTCTTCAAGGTCACGTGTTCTGCAAGGCTGTTCCAAGAAGGTCCAAGGTCGTGTAAAGCATGTTGCGTAACACCTTCTTGGAGCATTTTCGTCTCCCGATCCCTTCGTTAGTCCTGCGTTAACCTTCAGTATAGGTTATAATGAAGTCTCTGCTATACTGTACGCGACACCTCAGTCGGGTAAAAAGCATGTACCTTTAGACTTGAAATGTATACCTTACCGTTTTGAATAAACCCGTAAAAGTACTGCGCCGTGATGTATAGCTTTTATGGTTTGCGAGCACACACATATAATGCTCAAGCAGTGGTGAGTTGTTCAGCAAAATACAGATATCCCCTAGAAACACATACCATTGAATCAACATTGATTCAATGTTATGTGCTACTAGGTTCTCTCCCTGTTACTCCTACTACTACCCTAGCGCGCTCTGAATTCCAGTGCTGAGTTCCAGAAAGCTTTTGAACGCTGGTATACTTTTACTCATACAAATATTCAACTCTACAGCATGCACTCTCTCTGCATGGCAAACCCTTGGAAAAACTTATCCGCAAAGACCAAATAATTTGCCCGGAGGTTGGTGGTCTTCCTATAAGTAGAGGCGACACAGGTCCTTCTGTGCTAAGGTGCACAGGTCCTTTCTGCGGATGACAAGGTTCCCTGCAGTGTATCGAAAGGAAAAATTCTCCCAAGAGACTGAGCCATAAGGGATTCACCCTTTTTTACTTCTAGAAAAACATCCTGAAATCAAGTATCTTATGGGACCCGATTGGAAGTCAAAATGGATTATCATTGGGATGGTCTTTTTCCAAATTGGTTCCCTCTTCATTGTGAAGGACTTGAGCAACCTGGGACTCTTCCTTGCTGCGTATTTCATCGGTGGAACAATCAACCATTCATTAATGCTTGGTATTTATTTTTTTGCTGCTGAAATGAATAGTTTATATTCAGTTGAGGAAATGCAATTTGGTTGATCACTAGAAACTGTGATATTTAACTTTTTGTAATAATTTTTCGCTTACATTCCAGCCATCCATGAAATTTCCCATAATCTGGTCTTCGGGCATTCGCATCCACTCGCCAACAGATTATTTGGACTTTTCGCTAATCTGCCAATTGGAGTTCCTTTCTCTCCTGCCTTCAAAAAATATCATCTTGAGCACCATAAGGTAATTCTTCTTCTTGTAGTTGTCTTTTTTCTTTCGCACGGTTCATCTCATTCCAAGGAATGCTTTCATAAAGCAATCCTATTCAATTCAGCTTCAAAATACGTTGGTGGAATTTGATTGCACTAGTAACTGGTGTCGAAACGTTTATTTTTGGATATAAATGTAAAGCTTTGTATAGAATTAGCTTCGGGAGCGTAGGCTTCCTTTGCCAAAAGCACATTTTTATGCATCGTTCATTTAAGGATTCTGTAAAAAGATGCTAAGGTAGCACTTTCAATATGATACACAATATTAAACTGTGGAAATTGTGGATATCGCTTCAAACCCAAAATGCATTCATGCATTCAATGAACTGTAAATTTACCAATTTGTTTTAAGTAAATTTACAATTTTTCATTAGTTTCTGAGCATGTATATTATTGTTGAAATCGGGGTAAGCCCTGCGTTGCTCCTACTATGATAGCTCTCCCTAGAAAAACATTTCAAAGATTTCCCGAAACACTGGAGGAATTGCATACCCCTGATAACGATACGATAACGAAAACCATTTGCTATTTCTCTAAGTGCTAGCTTAGGTTCTTCTTTCCATTTCTTCGGAATTCAGCTGAAAGTAATTACTTTTATTGCTTTGAGCCAGCAATGAAAATTTGAAAACAGCCTTTGCACCAATCCATCCCTGTTTACCAAATTAAAAAATTTTGCTCGTTCACAAAAGCCAATTCTGATCCTGGCGCATTGCTTGTAGGTAATAACCATAGGAATGTCGGTGAAATGTATTCCCAAATGTTGGGTATCGATGCGTTCTATAGAGTCAGTCCGAAAATAATTGGTAAAAATATAAAATGTTCTCAGGTTCGGTTCGAATCATGGTGTCTATAGCATGAGAATTATAAAGATTTCAACAGTGGCTAACAAAATATTTGAATATCATCAGAAAGTAGGCTATTACAATTTTGAAAAAGCCTATTTTGATGGTTGGCATCTTCTTTCGAGTATGAAGTCACATGCAAAATATGCATTATATCCCTTTTAAAAAGGCAATCATAACAGATACCTTTGCAATGTTTGTAGCAATACAGCTTTCGAGGCTCCATATTTTTTTTCCTTTAATGTGGTGGGCTTAATTATCAATAGCTTCCAAAATAATAATAAAATTGTGTTTTCTTAACGGTGTCTGTAAAGTCAGAAATATAAGAGGTATGAGAGTTCATTTTACATTAGCAAGTATTTGTAGTACATGTTACCAATGTTCGCCACCACGCTCATAACACGTATGCAGGCGATAAACAATGTTCCGCTGAACATTCCGAAGTGTGTTACCATCGATTCTAGGGCGTTGCATACACTATGCGGGTGCCTATACAAGGTTTAGGATCTGAGTAATTGAAAACTGAAGTGCATCGGAGTCTTAATTTTTGTTTTTCCTAATTCCGGTCCACTGGAACCACGGGTATTCACGGGTCCTCTTTCTTTCTAATACAGTAAGGCAAAATGTCAGAGGAAAGATTTGATTAATAAATAACTATTAATTTTCTTTTTTCCTTTTCATCGCATATTTCACCAAACTGGATCAAACATCTTCAGTATCAAGGAGATGAGAAACTGGACACAGATATACCAACCAAGTTGGAGGCTGTACTTTTCACCCGTACTGGGACCAAGTTCCTTTGGCTTGTGCTTCAGCCTTTATTTTATGCACTTCGCCCTCCTGTTGTTTATCCGAAGGCCCTGACAACCCTTGAGTACGTCTGCATCATCATCCAGTTATCCTTTGATGCAATAATTATTCATTTTTTCGGTAAGTCCCATGCCTCGATATCATTAATTACCGTTGCGAATGCTTCCGTTTTGTCTAAGATAAGATTTCGATGTTGCAGCCAGAGCTATATTAATGACAGCAAGTAGATTTAATGATATGAGTTAAGGGGGAAATTTCCCTATAATCCGTACAGATACGTTTCATTGGGATTTCTAGCGAACATGGTCTAGTTTCTGAGCATTTTAACTTGATCAATTGATGCATAAACCCATCTAAGAATTCTTACCGCATGGTTCATCCTTCAGTCCTTGAAACGTAACATTTTAAGTTCCATGATAGAGACGTCAGTACATTTTAGAGCTTTAGGCGTTCCCTTGTCACAGTCAAGGTTTATTTAGTTTAGTTTCGTCCTGACTCTCCAACTGTTTCATTGAACCCTTTCCTTGGAAAGGCTGGTGATTCCATCCAACAGAACATTTCGCTTCCTCCTGTTGCCACTAGTTTGCTTATGAATACATAATTAATCAGAATGTGTTCTGCTTTAAAATGGGCGGATTTTCGTAGGGACATCGGCATTTTCGGCATTTTGTGCGAGTTGAAGCAACCAATAGCTTGCAATGGTATACCACGAAGTAGAGACCAGGAGTCCGTTTAAGAACAACGTTCTTTATGCTTAAACTTTCTGCAAACCAAGAAAAAATTATTTTCAATAAGATCCGCATTGTTTTCACAAGTAGCTGCCAAACGTGATCCTAACTGGTCAATCTCCCCGTACAAAAGAATCATGCCGAACATTAGGAACTGAATATAGAGGATAGTTTTCTGGAGATTTTCTCTCATTCTGTTTTCTCATTTTCAATGTTCTGCTTGAATGTATTACACATTTTCGCCACATTACCTGGCGTGAGATATCTAGAGTGATATATATATACCTAGTATATATGATATATATACACTTTTTTTTTCTCTCTCTCCAGGATGGAGATCATTGTTATACTTGCTTGGGGGATGCTTTCTGGCAATGGGTGTCCATCCCGTTGCTGGCCATTTCGTATCTGAACATTACATGTTCAAGAAAGGATTC